GCCACACTATCATCCTGGCAGTCCTATGGGGGCTGTTCCTACCGGCCTAGGGGCATAGGGGCAGGACCTCAAGGACAGTGCCACAGCTGCGAGGGAAGAGGGGATTCTGCTGGAGAGGGAACGGCTGGCTTCTCCCAGTCCTGTGGGAGTCCTGTCACCAGGTCTGCTTTCAGGGCCTCCAACCTTGCACACTCTCCCAGGCCCCTAGCACCTACCCAGGAGGAGTCGCAGAGACGTCAGACAGCGCACACTTCTCTGTGAGGTCCTCTGTGGTCCCTGAGTAGGTGAAACGGGATGAGCTGGAGGCCAATGAGTGGTGGCTTCGACCATGAGCAGTGGAGGGACTCACAGTCTCCCCAGGTTGCTGTGACCCTGCGGTCACCGAAGCGCAGAGCCGGGCGGGACCTTCGTCACAGCTTTGGTGACCACAGGGCTTCATTCACTCCATCTCTCCGTATGCGTCCACAGGCAGCCGATGTGCAAGCGTGTGATCAAGCTGAGAAACTGTTTAAAAAAGTATTAAGAATCAGATTTAGACAATTGGTTTCTGAGAACTGGGAAGTTTGGGTTTCAGAGATATTTATAAAGTTTTCACAGGCCAAGTCGGACCTGTGCCAGCATGGGCCAGCTAAACGGCTCTGAGCCTGTCATTCACGCAGGGCCTGGAAATCTTCACGCTCAGATCTAAGTTCAGACGCTGTAGTTATAAAATACAGCATTTCTGACTCAAAACAATTCTTTTTACTGGAGATCTATGCAAATGAGAAACTTTTTAAATATCCAGGCCTCTCCCCTTCAATTAATATTAATTTTTTGTTTTTTGTGGTACTAGGGATTGAACCCAGGGCCTGTGTGCTTAGCTACAAGTCCCCTGCCCTTTTGCATGTCAGGGTCTTGCTAAGTCGGTAAATTGCCCACGCTGCGCTGAAGCTTGTGATCCTCCTGCCTCGGACTTTCACAGTGCTGGGATTACAGGTGTGAGCCACCGTGACCAGTTTATTCCCTATTTTAGATATTTAACTCTTTAGATTTTGACTTTTTCTGCTGTTTTAGACGTGCCACAGATGTTAAAAAATGACTATCTATTGAATGTTGCAGCACTTATAAAAAAATAAAGCAGGGAGCAAAATTCTTCTAAACTCAGAAATCCTTAGTACAGCTTCTAGGTCCAAGGATTTCACTGAACTCAGACTCAAGCAATTCTGAAGCAGATAAATCCTTTGAAAGACAGGAAAAGAAAAAAAAAAAAAGATGTGGCATCACTAGTGTGCTCACAGGTCACAGAGATGCAAGGGGTGGCAGTGGTCTGACCTCCCCAGCCTTTATACTCGGAAGGAGCCTCAGAGCTCTCACTTTTCTCTTTACCGTAGAAAAAACAGCTCTGATTTTTCATGGTAGAAGAAACCCCTTGGAGCTAATTTTGCTGCTGGGTGCAGGTGTTTTTCTCAACAGTCTGAATAAATCTTCAGCTAATAAACAGTCCAATAAATCTGATGCGTCCTATTTCTTAAATGATACAGCGAGGAAAGATGAAACATGAATTTTGTCTATAGCCGACACAGGGATAAAAATGAGCACCATTTCACACATTCCAAAGGGGCCACTTATCAGGATCTTACAAAGTACTCCCAGGACCCTGACTAATTATGTCAAACCAAGTACCTGAAGGCATTTCTTACTCTAACTATACACAGAAAGACAGTCATGAAATTGTTTGGAAAAGCAGTATAAATACATATGAAGTTTCATAACTCTGACCTTCCTCTCCTTTCTCCTTTTCTGTCATGCAGCTGTTTCAGTTTGCAAAAGATAAATCCATGCCAAGAATTCTACTGGACGTGAACTTGAAGTGCTTTAATCTTCATGTGTACCTTGGAAGGAGGAAGCTAGTTTTCCTTGGCAACTTGGATCATCAATCCACATGCATTTCACTTTTACAGACATGGGTTTTCCTTTAGATACAGCAATGGGGTTCATCAGAATTTGAGGCAGGTGTAGCAAAACTACTTAATACAAACTACTGGATTTACAGTTGGTGTAAGTATGTTTGGAATGAATACAAAAGGAGGAATAAAATATAAGCATGACAGGGCAAAGGAGTTGTCTAGGAAACAGTCTATCATGAGGTAAGCAAAATGAGCTGTCTGCCCAAGTTCAAGGTTGAGGAGGACATTAATAAAAATGAGGGAAATCCCCAATTTGAATAAAAAATTATGCTCTGCACATGACAATAGAAGTTGTATTTTATATCAGGAATGGGCTTTGCATGTGACCCAGGTTCAACACATTGCAGATCTCCATTTGATAGATAAGAAGACCGAAACTAGTGTCAGTAAGCAAATAAGTAAGTGGCAAAGGAGTCTGGGTTAATTTGCTTTGTTTTATTACCAGGGATCCAACTTGGCACCTTGCACTAGCAAGGCAGGGAGTGGCACCACTGAACTAAATCCCTGGCCCTGGGTTAAATTTTTAAAGTTTGGATTAAAATCCAGGTGTAGGGCTGGGATCTAGCTCAGTGGTTCTACCGCCTGTCTTGCAAGTGCAAGGATTCCAGTTGGATCCCCAGTACCAAACAACACCCTCCAAAACCCAAAAGATCAGGTATAGCTGCACATACCTGTGTTCCCAGCTACTGACAGGATAATTGTAGGTTTGAGGATAGCCTGAGCAAATTAGCAAGACCCTGTCTCAAAATAAAAAATAAAAAAAGGACTGGGGATGTATCTTAGTAGTAGAGTGCTTGCCTAGCACGCATGAGGCCCTAGGTTCAATCTCTAGTTAAAAATAAAAGTTGTAATTTAAAAACTCAGGGTTGGGGATTTAGCTCAGTTGCTGCCTGCCTAGCAAGTGCAAGGACCCAAGTTCAATACCTGGTACCAAAAAATAGAAAAATAAAAATAAAAACTTGGTAGAATGGTAGTACACAGAGGTTCTAACTCAGTGGTAGAAAACATATTTAGTATGCATAAGGCCTTGGGTTCAATACAAACAAAACAAAAACCCCAAACAAAAATAAAATTCAGGGTCTTAGTTACTCTATTGTTGCTGGGACAAAACACCCAATATTCACAAGTTAAAGGAAGAAAGGTATATTTTGGCTCACAGCTTGTAGAGGTTTCAGTTCAGTGTTGGCTGGCTCCAAGGCAGGGTAGCATGGCAGAGGTATGAAGAAGAGAAACAGTCCATGGCAGGGCGGGCAGGAAGCAGCAAGCAGTGAATCTTCCTTTCCCTTTTTATTCCATCCAGGCTACAAGCCTTATTGGTTGGTGCCACCTACATCAAGGATGGGCCTTCCCATTGTCCATACTCAGAATTGTGCTAAACCAATCAGTGGACTAACTCAGTTATCACACACTTTTTTGAGACAGGATCTCACTATGTAGTTGAGACTGACTTGGAACTCACTATGTAGCCAAGGTTGGTCTCGAACTCATAGCGATCATCCTGCCTCAGCCTCCCGAGTGCTGGGATTGCAGGTGTGAGCCACCATACCCGGCTATCACACACTTTTGTTTTGTTTTGTTTTGTTTTTTTGGTACCAGGGGATCGAACTTGGGTCCTTGGGCTTGCAAGGCAGGCAGCAGAACCACTGAGCTAAACCCCCGGCCTTATCACACACTTTTAATCCAGTATTACACACCCATGATCCAGTCACTCCCCAAAACAGCAACTATGAGCACATAAGGCTTTGGGGGGAATATCCAGTTACAAACTGTAACATTCAGATTTTCTTTTACATTTCCCTCTGTAATTCTGAAAGGCCATCAGTCATTCTGAATAGTTTTGTTTTCTATGTGGCTAAGGGTCTAGCCACTACAGGCTAAATTTTAGCCAGGTGTGGCATATAATACTTGGAAGACTGAGGCAAGAGGATCATCATAAGTTCTAGCTCAGCATTCGTGACTTAGTAACACCTGTCTCAAAAAAGTAAGGAGGGCTGGGGATATAGCTCACTGTGAAGGCCTTGGGTTCAATACCATTACCATGAGAACAGAACACACTAAGCATTACCACATTTAAAATAACAAGCCAACCCCCCCAAACAAAAAAAAACTTTCTAAAATTGTATTTGCATTTTTTCACCTCTTTCAACACATTATACTGAGTAGTTAGAAACCTGTTCCTCAAAATTCATCCTTGGCAGGGTGACTTGGCTAAACCACTGGTGAGACAACATGCCCAGGACTGAGGTGTGAGGCTGCTGGCCCATGCTATGCCGCTTCCACTTTGCTCCTCAGAGTATGATTCTGATGCTTTTTCTACCTGCTGTTCACATGCTTGAAGTCCTTTTCCTTAGCTCTTCCTAGGCCTTATAGAACAGAAAATGAAACCAGTTAAAGTAAAAGTGAGTAAGCTTGAAGGGGTTGCCCAGAGGAACCCTATTACCAGGTTTGTTGACTGCCTTATTCCATCTCTTTGTGGTGCCACTGCACACAAAGGGCTCACAGTGTCCAAGCAGGTGAGGGAAAGGAAACTCAGCAGGAGCAAAATATAAATGTAGGAACAAGCATACTCACACGTACACTTGCACACGCACACGTGGTTTTATTAGTCTCCCTGCAATGAACTACAACTCTCAAAAATTTCCAAATCATTTTATTTCTGAAGAAAGGAAATATCTTAAGTTCCCATTTTACATTTGTTTATACTGTTCTGTTGTTTTTTTTTCCTATGATGGAATGTGTTTGGTTCACCCAATATAAAAGCCTTTGCTACACATTTACAGACTTGTCACTAATCTTTTTTTCTTTTTTTGCAGTGCTGGTGACTGAACCACTAAACAAGCATTCTACCACTGAGCTACATCCCTAGCTCCTAAACAGTAAGAAAATAAAAAACTCAAGTCAGGTGTGGTAGTACATACCTGAAATCCTAGCACTTTGGAGGCTGAGGCAGGAGGATCAAAAGTTCAAGCCCAGCCTGAGCAACTTTGCAAGACTGTGTCTAAAAAACAAAAAACAAAAAAATGACAAAAACACCTGGGATGTAGCTCAGTCCAGAGGTCCTGGGTTCCATCCCTGGTGCCACCACAAAATAAAACCAAACCAAAACAAAACAAAACCACCCTAAACTCTGGGTCAGTTTTATGTTCTGGAGTCTTGTTGCTTCATGTATATTTTAAAACAGTAATATGGTGTGTTAGGCTTAACACAATGACAGCATAACGAAGGACAGCTAGTACTTTAACATGACTTCAACCAAAATTCCAGGAGATCAGCACTGCAACACTGTATTTACTCTATTGCTTAAAAAACTGATCAAAATCATCTCTTCATCTAACTAGTAGGAATTAAAGCTGGCCCACTGGGTCAACAGACAGGACCTCTCGATGTTGGGAATCGTTTCTATTCTTTTACTTAACAGATGAGACAAGAGGGGTGCAGGGACTTTGAGAATGTGTGCACAGACAGACCTGTTTCAGGGCTGGAGCGCAGTCCAGCACCACTGCTATTTTATGACTGGTATCACTGTCACATTTGGCCCTTTGTATTTACAAAGTACCTCCTCAGCTTCACAGCACTGCTTGTTATCCTTCCAGTTATGGAAAAATTTTTTCCTTCCTTGTCTTTGGGGGTTTCAAACTAAGTAAAAAGCACACACACACACGCACACACGCAGTGTGTGCGTGTGAGTGCACAGATATACAAATCTATGGAAGCAAAAGTACCAGGTACCCAGATAATACAATGCAGGCCATATCCTAAGTCACAAAGCACAAGTGGGGAATGATCTTCAGCTGAGTTTCTTTCAACAGTACCAAAGGGCTCAGCAGTGCGTATGCTTTGGAAGAGGCACGGAGACATTTAAAAACTACACTTCAGAGAGTCTTATTTTCAGACACAATGGTGAGGGTGGCTGGCTGCTCTTCAGGTGGCTCTTGCAGTAAAACCTTCAAAGAATGAAGACAATGGATTTCTCCTCCTGGGATTTTTCTTTGTTTTCTTTTTGTAAGGTTCTTACTGTATTAAGGTATGGAAATAGGATAACAGAGAAGATACGACGTATCATGTGAGGGAGGTAATCAGACAAAAACAATTCTGTAGAAATTAAAAATCACATTCTGGGGCAGGGTGGGTGTTAGCATGTTCTTTTCACAGAGGTTTACACATTCTGTGGCTGCCCGCAAAAGCAGTAATGGGAAAAAACACTCGGCTGCAGAAGAAAGCTGAGATCTTGGCCACACAGCATTTAATATCTTTAAACCTTGGTGGGCCATCAAGTGCCCTTTCCAGAATAGGCCAAGGAAGACAAGTCCAGTTTGGTTTTTAAGGCTTCAGTCAGCTCCGTGGCCAGCAGCTCGTGGAGGGATATGCCATCATGAGAGTACACCCAGCTTTTCCCAGTCCAGTCATAGCGCTTGGGTCCACTGGAAGACAAACAAGGGTACAGTAAGTCCATGAGGACATCGAATCAGAGCCGCTACATCATGATTCGGGTCTTTAATGTCCCACACAGGCCCCGTGTTTGGTCACGAGCCTGTGGCACTACTGGGAGAATGGTGGGACCTGTAGGGGACGGGGCCTGGTGGGAGAGAGACAGGTCACCAGAGGCTTGCCCTTGAGGGGACCCTGGGACTTAAGCTTGTCCTCTCTCTCTGCCTTCATGAGAAAAGCAGCATCCTCTGCCACAGGCTTCCCACCGTGATCTTCTACCTCACGATGCAACCACGAACTAAAACTGTAAGCCAAATAAATGTTTCCCCCTTTGGAATTTATTTTCTCACAGGATGGGGAGCTAACACACAGACTCTGCCCAGGAAATCATCTGACCCTCACTGATTATCAATGAATCTCTGTACATCACAGTCTGATTTCTCCTTTTTTCTTTTCTTTTGGTACCAGGGATCGAACTCAGGACCTTGTGCTTGTGAGGCAGGTGCGCTGCCACTGAGCTGAATCCCCAGTCCAATCTCTCACTTTTTCTACCTTCCATATGGCATCTGTTCTCTTGGGAGCAGTGTTTATGAAATCACGACCATTCCTTTCTTTTTTTGAGTCAGGGTCACTATGTAGCTCAGGCTGGTCTCGAGCTCACAGCCTCCTGAGTATTGGAATTACGGTGTGTGCCTCCACGGCTGGCGAAATCCTGACCATTCTTGTGCCTCTGACATGACTGCTTGTGGCTAACCTGTACTATTATTTAATCCCAATTCTCCCCAAGGCCTTGGCAACCATCTAAATCATTATTTTTTAAAATACCTTTTTAAGGCTGGGTGTGGGGTGCATGCCTGTAATCCCAGCACTTGGGAGGCTGAGGCAGGAGGATCATTGTGAGTTCAAGACCATCCTGGGCTACATAGTGAGTTCCAGATCAGTCTCAACTACATAACGAGACCTTGTCTCAACCAAAAAACAACCACCACCACCACCACCAATGACAACAACAAAAACCTTTTTAAATTAAAATTAAAACTTGTCAAATTGAGAGCTTGATGGGCTAGTTCATCTGCCTCAAGATCATTTATTTAAAAAAAAATGGCACAGGGTCGGGGACTTAGCTCAGTGGTTCCGCAGCCTGCCTCACAAACACAAGGTCCTAAGTTCTATCCCCGGTACCAAAAAAATGGCACATGGACTTCACCTTGGGAATGCTGTGTATTACAGGTTGGATGAGTACTGCTGATATGAGGGCTTGGTCCCCAGGATGGTGGTACTGGGAGGTACTGTGCAACCTTAAAGAGGAGAGACATCGTGGGACACCCCAAGCTGACTGGGGTATGCCCATGAAAGAAACTACGGGACGTGCCCATCCTCTATCTCCGGGCTTCAGAAGTGATGGTCATCCCTTCACATGATTCTGCTATAATGTGCCACCCTTTCAAGAGGCTGTAGCACATCCGCTCCTGCCAGCCCAATCTCGGACTCTGACAAACTCCGAGCAAAATAAGCTGGTTCGCTTTATAAGTCAGTTGCCAGAGTTCCCCATGGTAATGTAATACAGTACTGACAATACACTGTATTTGTGTAGACAGATGTGTAGCTGGTTTTTGCCATGAACTGTTACACCAATGTACATAACTGAATCTCAAATCCTACCTCCTTATGGCCTAGCAGAGAGGGTGGACAGAGCAGCAGATTACAACGACACACAGTGACGCCCTTTCCGAGGACTGCTGTGAGTTTGAGGCCAGCCCGAACTACACAAAAAAAAGGGTTTCTATGTTGCTGGCTAAATGCTAGGGTTTGAACATGTGCTCAACAATGCAGGAAAAAGGGAAAAATCAAATTCACAGGACTTTTGCTTACTGCACACAAACTGCTGAACATAAACCACCGGGACTGTATAAAAAGAACAAACAAACAAATAACGCCCCCTACCAAACTGTTCCTTGGCCTTGTGCTCAGAATCTGCTCTCAGACAGCTATCTACCCCCTCTATGCCGTCCAGGGGCTCTGAGCCCACGAGTCCCCAGACTGCTCCTTATTCTACCCTATGACTTCGTCAGGGTGGGCAGGGTGACTAGGAGATGCTAATCCCACAGGACCCGAAAAGCCGTCAACTGAAACAAACAAACAAACAAACCAGAAGCCCAGCCCTAATGTGACAGTCAGCTTTCTCATTACTGAGACACAGTACCTGACGGCCACACTTAAAGGAGATTATTTTGGTCCACGGCTTCAGTGGGCTCAGTCCATGGTCTGCACTCCAAGGCAGAAGCAGATGGCAGAGGAAAGCTCTTCACTGTGTGGTGGCCATGAAGTAGAGAGAGAGGGGAGGAGCCAGGGAAGAATACATCCTTCCAAGTCCCACCTCAGTCCTACCCCAAACAACACATTCACCCCCTGAGAGCAGCCATGGATAAACCCACTGATGAGCGTGGCACCCATGATCAACCTCCTTCCAAACAGGAGACTTCGGGGAATGTTTTGGATCTAAACCGTAACACCCTTGAAGAGTATATATATTTTTTGGTACCAGGGATTGGACCGAGGTTTTTATTGTTTTGTTTTGCTTTTTGAGACAGGGTCTTATTGTATAGTTCAGAACTCACTATACAGCCCAGGCTGGCCAAGACTCATAGTAATCCTCCTGCCTCAGTATCCTGAGTGCTGGGATTACAGGCATGCGCCACCACGCCCAATTAAAAAGTATTCTGGACAAATATGAATAGCAGAAGACTGTTCATGAACATAGCTGTGACAATAGCAGGTACTCAGTAGATTTTCCTTTCAGTATGCCACATTAATTACAGATTTTAAGAAAATACCCTTGGAATTTCTTGTTTTGTTTGTTTTTTTGTGTTTTTTTTAATAATGAAAAGTTTATTTTGCCAGCAAAGGTCGAATGGCACTCAAAAAGGCAGTGCCAGGAATGGACCACCTACGGGGCTGCAGCTTCTTCTTTTTTCTGAGATCAGGTGGTTACAGTTCATTTCCTCAGTTCACATTACCTATGCACAAATTTCAGTAATAAGGCAGTTCACTTTAACCTAAACGTAACAGTTCCTTGTAGTTAGGGAGCTATCTATTCCAGTTGTTTTGTTTTTTTGAGACAGTGTCTCACTACGTAGTTGAGACTGACCTGGAACTCACTTTGTAGTCCAGGCTGGTCTCAAACTCACAGTGATCCTCCTGCCTCAGCCTCCCGAGTGCTGGGATTACAGGTGCATGCACCAGGTGCACGCCACCACACCCGGCTCACCCTTGGAATTTCTCGGAAGTCATAATTATGTAGTAGAATATACTTCTAGAGAGTTTTGCTTGCTTTAATACTGTGGATGAAACCAGGGCTCCATAACTATGAGGCGAGCCCTCTACCACTATGCTACATCCCCTGGTTATACTTTTTTTAAAAATTAATTTTATTGGTCCATTTAAAGTATACAATATAAAGACATTCATCATTGGAAATTTGCACCTTTACATAATCTACCTTGGTTCTTATTTTTTCCCCACTCCCCTGCCCTCCCTTCAACTCCTCTGTCTCTTTCTATCTACAGACTTTGTTTCCATTTTATCTTTCTCACATTCATTCCATTCCCTTCTTTCTTTTCCCCTACCCCTGCCCCTTCCCCTTTACACCTATTCCACATTATCCATTATACATTTTAGTTCTTATTCACACTTCCAGTTTCACACGAGACCCTGGTTACACTTTTTTTAAAAAATTTGCAAATACAATTAGTCTTTCAAAGAATTCCACATCGCTTATAGTTCTGCTTTCCCAGTGTCCAACCTAAGCGCTCTCTCTGGAGCGCTCATGCATGGTCGGGGCAGGGTGTGCTGAGGGCTTTTGGTAAGTACCACTCTCTCTCCTTCTCCCAGCCACGTCAAGGGCAGCCAAGCTGCAGGCTCCTGGCTTTGAGGTGCAGGCTGTCCGAACTGGAAAGCACTTGACTGGGACAGGAAGGAGGGACAGATGCCCTGGAGAAGCAACTTCAGCCACTGTCCCACCTCCACAAGGCCTGCAGCTCAGCCCTGACAAAGGAATTCTACAGAACTCCGCCTGAGATGCTAAAAACAATCAGACTTTAACTCGCTTTGAGGACAAAGTATGACTTGCTCAGGCGCTGGCGTATTAAAATGAGTTTTTTTCTTTGTTTCTGCCATGCTGGGGTTCAAAACTAGAGCCTCACAGATACTAGGTAAGAGCTTTACCACAGAGCTACACCCCCAGTCCCTACGCAATAATAATTTTCTCTTTCATACAAACTGTCTAGGCTGAGTTCTGAAAAGTTATAAACTTTCCTCTTTGGATCGTGTTAACATACTCACGCCTGCTAAGTGCAGCCAAGTTATCAGCAAGGAGATTATGTAACTAGAGTAAGGGCTCCCGCTCAGTGTGAGACAGCTTAAAACAGCAGGAGCTGGGCATGGTAGCACACACTCTTAGGAGGCTGACATGGAAGGACTGCTCCGAGTTCGAGGCTAGCCTGGGCTTCATAGTGAGAGCAAGGCCAGCCTGAACTACTATAGTGAGACCCTGGGTCAAAAAATCACAAAAACCACCAAGCAGCAACAAAAGAACCAACCAAACAAAACACCAGGAAAGGGCCACTTACAGATGCTAACATGAAAAGATGACCCATCTCAAATGGTCCATGACACATTAAAAAAATTAATTAATTAACTGATGGCACCGTGGACTGAATCCAGAGCCTTTGAACTGAGGCATATTTCCAGGACTTTAAATTTTTTTGTTTGTTTGTTTTGGTACTGGGGATGGAACTTGGGTCCTTGAGCTTGTGAGGCAGGTGGCAGAATCACTGAGCTGAATCCCTGGCCCTCAAAAAAATCTTTTTGGAGACAGTGTCTCACTAAGACCCTAAACTGTCCAGGCAGGGTTTGAACTTGCCATCTTCCTGCCTCCGCCTCTCAGAGAGTTGAGATTTCAGGCATATGTCGCCACACCTGGCTCATGTCACATTTTCAAGGAGTTCGATCATTAGAGATTTTGACTTCTGCACTTACCTGGAGGGAGAAGACAACCAGATCTGCTTGTTTGGGGTCTGCTTGTTGATCACATAGGTTCCTAGGTCTCCGCCCAGTTTAACTGTCAAGACGCCACTCTGGGAGTTCAGGTGCAAGAGAGCGTGAAGAAAATAAAACCAAAGTGAGCCCTTTGCCATAAATGCTTTGCATTCTGGTATCTCTGCACACTTTTCATGTACACAAATATGCAGTATGTATCACCACAAAATGTCTTCATGGGACTGGAAATGCAGCTCTGTGAAAGGGTTGTGTGCTTAGTAGGAGAGAGGCCCTGAGTTCCATCCCAGCACCGAAAAAGGAAAAAGTCCTTACTTAGTATTTAGAAATAGGAGATCATGGAGGAAGAACATTGCTCTCAGGATCAGAATGGGACCGATCATAAGGCCAACATCTCTAGTGCTTTTCCCACTCCCCACGAGCACGGCGAAGCCAGAATGAGCGCCACATCTGAGGTTTCAGTCCGGCAAGTGTGACTGCTGGCTTGGTGCGCCCACCCACCACCAATAGAGCAGGCCGGAAGACGTTACAAACACAGACACCAACTCCACAGTATGCTGTCAGTGCAGGCACTGGACGTGACGAGTCCCATAAGAAGAAAAGAAAGAAGGAAAGGAGCCATCAATCTGCTTGCCTTTCTAGTCTTAGAAGAGCAATGGCCTTAGCTAAGCAGGCAGAAGGCTGCGACTCCAGCCTACATTTGTTATTTTCTGATCCTTCCCACGCATCTGACAACACCTCAGACCCTCTGCCCTGGCTTCATTTTCCCTAAAGAGCCTTGAATTCCCTAAAGACTGGTGGGCCCAACTCAGCCCCATAAGAGCTCATTTAAATTTGAAAACACTTTCACAAAGGAGCCCTTTACTCGCCAGCCTCTACTCCACTTGGGAATGGGCGGGGTGTGAAAGCAAAGGTAGTACTCTGAGCTCCCGGGGTCCACACAGGCAGCCAGAGGGACAGGGTGGCCTTTCTGTGCCTCTGGAGCTCTCCTCCAATCAAGGTCCTGGGATGACTCTCCAGACACCCTCTTCACCGACACAGGGAGGGTTTTAAACGCAGGAGGCCATAACAGCAGTGATATCACTGATAGGCTTGGGATGAGCAGGGGAGACGTGTGGGGGCTGGGATGAGCTCAAGGCCTCCTGCATGCTAGGCGGGCGGTCTACCACTAAGCCTCGCTCCAGCCCTGTCACGGTAACCGGTTCCAAGCACACAGTTCAGCGGAGCCAAGGACACTTAAGAGTGCTGTGCGGTGCATCTCTAGAGCCTTTTCTTCTTGTGTCACTGAACCTCTACATACTCGTTACGTACTAATTCTCCTCCCAGCCCTTGGTGACCACCTTCCTACTTTCTATGATTTTGACTACTTCATTTTTTTTGCGGTAGTGCGGATGGAACTCTACACTAAACTACATCCCCAGCCATTTTAATTGTTTTGAGACAAGGTCTAGCTAAGTTGTCCAACCTGGCCTTGAATTTGTGACCCCCCTGCCTCAGCCTCGCAACTGCTGAGATTACATGTGTGTAGCACCTAGCCTACTTTAAAATTTACTCATTTCTTACTTATGTTTGGTGTTTTCTGGAGACAGACTCTCTCTATGTAGTTCAGGCTGGCCTTGAACTCACTACTGTATATAGCCCAGGGTGTCCTCGAACTTGCAGCAATCCTTCTACCTCATCCTCTTAAGTGCTCGGATTACAGCTTATTTTTTGAGACAAAGTAGCCCAGACTGGGCCCAAACAAACAAACCTTCTGCTTCAGCCTTCCAACTGCTGGGATTTACAAGTCTGTGCCTATTTCCTTCATTTATTTAAAATGGACAAATAAAACTGTATTTATGGTGTTGTTTCTATGATTCTGACCACTTTTGATTATTTCATGAATGTTAGCAAGCAGTATTTCTCCTTTTGTGACTTGACGTGGCTATTTTGGGGTGTGTGCTGGAGACTGAATCCAGGGCCTTTGCACTGAACTACATCTTCAGCCCTTTTTTATTTTGAGAGCCTCACTAAGTTGCTAACTTGCTCCTGCTGGGCTCAAACTTGTGATTCTCATGCCTCAGCCTGCCACAGCGATGGGATTATAGCTGAGGCTGCTTACTTTATTTTATTTTGCCCTTTTTTATTTGAGGCAAGGTCTTCATGTCCCAGGCTAGGTTTAAATGATGATCTTCCTGCCATAGCCTTATGAAATGCCAAGATCACATGCAGCTGCCACCATGCCAGGAAGCTGCTAACTGTAAATGCATTTTTTTGGTGCTGGTGACCAAACTCAGCACCTTGCATGCTAAGCACATGCTCTTGTACTGACCTACACTCTCAGCCCCTTAAATGCATTCATACATTCATTTGTGGTACTGGGGACAGAACCCAGAGCCTTTGCATTGAGCTACATCCTTAGGCTTTTTTTATTGTGAGACAAGGTCTTGCCAAATTGCAAAGGCTGGGCTTGAACTTGTAATCCTCCTGCCTCAGCCTCCCAGAGTGCTGGGGTTACAGGCATATGCCACAACCACGCCAGGCTAATGTGATTTTTAAAGGGCAAGAAATATACTGTATGTAAATTTATTTAAAACAAATATTTTTTTCAGCTGGGCACGGTGAGACATACCTGTAATCCCAGCATTCTGAGAGGGTGACACAGGAGGATTGCAAGTTCAAGTGATATAGTGAGATGCTGTCTCAAAATAAAAAATAACAGGGCTGGGAATGTAGTTCAGCGCAAAGGCTCTAAGCTCAATAGCCACCAAGTGGGAAAACAAAAGCCCACTTTTTCACAAAGAGCACCTTAATGAAACAAGTGCGGGCTGTGGGTGTGTAGCCCAATGGTAGAGCACTGGTTAGCATGCACAAGGCCCTGGTTCCTTCCAAAGCACCAAAAGCAAACAGAAAACAAATGTGAGAGTCGTCTGAACACTATTGCTCTGAAACTCCTCCACCAGGTACCTTCATGCAGCTCAGGTGCTCCCCACACAAGCCCATGGGCTGTCCTGCTCCAGTCCTGCTCCAGTCCTGCTCAGGTGTCTCTGGGAGGGTTCTGGGTCCCCATAACTCTCGTGTTTCTTACCACCTTAGCACTGAGCTCCCCACAATCAAGCAGAGTGCCCTGCTCCTAACCTTCACTACTTCAACCCCTTTGAGAATAAGCATGTTGTCTTTAGTTCTGGCATATCCAGTGTCTAGCAACTCTGCTTTCAGCAAAATGTGAACAGGATGCAAAAGGACATTTCTGGGTGAATGTAAACGTGAGGGCATTCAAAAGGCGATAGCTCAGGTGCTGACCAGGCACTGTGATTCCGTCTGCCAAAGTGAAGGGCAAAGTTATACAAGGTAGAAATCACAACACAACTCTCCCATTGCTTGTTCACAGCAAGTAATCTGATTCTCTTCCCACACCGTTGAAGCTATTTTAAACCAAAGAAACCAGGCCACAGTGGGGTACATTTACGCTTTTGGGATTGTCTACAAGTAGATTACATACATGAAGAAGGCTTTTTATTCATCATTATTATTCTCTTTCAGCAACCTGCGGCTGTTTTGGGAGTGTGGGTACACTCACACACCCGACAGCCAGGACAGGCAAAATCTTGAGCAGGTGCTGAGAAACAGGACTCAACCAATCAGAAGAGACCCTGGCCCCAGCCAGTGAGAGTGGACACTGGCCCGGCTCTTGAGGCTTGTTAATTCCTGTTAGTATTGGCACTATATATGCAAAGGTGACAACTACAGTTGTCACCAGCTCATTTGTGGAAAGACACAAGTCAGGCAGCTTCATATATGAGTGACTTCCCAAGGAGTAAGGCTAATGAATGTGATGCACTTTGGGTTTTTTGTTTTATGGTGCTCGGGACTTGCTAAGCACACAACCACCGAGCTGCAGGGCCAGCCCTACGTTTGAGTAATCATAACCGAAACCTGGAGAAGTAGGGGTTAATGCCACCCATTTCACAGCTGAGGAGCCTGTGGCTCACAGAAGTTAGGTGACTCAGGTAAGGACCCTCACGAAATTCAACTACAGGATGCTAAGCCATACATTTGTTCTCTTATTCAATAAAGTGTGGCCTCTGAGCAAGGGTCCTTAACCTGGATCCAAAGGTGGGTTTGCGGGCTAACTGCCCCCACTCTGGTGGGAACTGTGCTCACAGGTGAGCGTGGAAGTGTTTCTTGGGAGAGGGTCCAGAACAGCCATCAGATTCTTTTAGTGGGCTTGGTCCCCAAAACATTGGGAGACCTCTGCTCTGAGGCAGTAACGCACTGCCAATTTAGTGAAAACATGGCAACAAGAAAACCCCTATTAAGACATCTAAGGGGGGCTGGGGATTTAGCTCAGTGGCACCGTGCTTGGCTGGCAAGCACAAGGTCCTGAGTTCAATCCCCAGTACCGAGGGGGAAAAAAAAAAGTCGAAGACAGATTGGAGGTAACTGTTCAAATATCATGGTGATTCTAGCAGCCCATGGTCGCATTTGCTGGGTCAAGTGCATCAGGCTTAGTGGTTGCCTGGTAAATGAAGTGTTCTCAGCTCTGTGGGTGTCCCTTCTACTAACCAGCAAGGGTGAGGCCTGGACCCAGACGTCAGGCTCAGCCATTACCTGGTCCCCTGATCAGATGACACGCGACACGCGCACCAGGTCTGATGACAGGCTGGCTAACATGTTGCTCAAACCTCCCGATCCACAGGGAGGGCACTGAAGCACATGTGCTTGGGTTTATAGGAATCACGGCTTCCGTCTGTTTACTTGGCCAGTAAGAAGTTACTAAAAGATCTATAAATGCTGATTGGCATCAATGAAAGCATGTTTTGGACATGTGGGCCACATTTCAGCACTGTTCTAGAGATTGAGATCAAGAAGGGACAGTGCCCTTGTAGCCAGACAAGACACCTTTTGATTTACCTTATATCAGAAATTTATCAATTGGCATCTGAAGAGCTCTAATTGGGAATTCACACCATGGGATAGTTAGCATTTCATATGCTTAATTACAAGTCCAAACTATAGAGGCAGCCACTAAATGCCTTTAGCTTTGTAAATCCACACTTGAGAGCCTGCTAATCATAAGGATTTGTTAGAAATAATTTTTCCTAGTGATACAATGCATGGCCTACCTAGAAAAATATAGGCGCCTCTTTCTTTTCAGCGAGGAATGGAATCTGAAAAGCCTAGCAGGCTAATACTCTTCTGAGAGATACTCTGGGGAGAGGACTCAGGAAAGTTCTGAGACTTGGCACTGAGCAGGTTTGTCATGATTCAAACGAATTCAACAGGGTAAATCGAACAATCCAGTTGCTAAAACATATTTGACATATTTGGTCTAATGAAACATTCATGCAAATCACTTGGGTCAAGATGGGGCTTTACTAACCCTGCAAGAACAGGCTGTGTGACTGTTTCATTGCTTGTTAGTCAATGTTTGTAGAAACAGCAGAGTGTAGCCCAAGAACTGGTGTCCCTGTCAGTGGTTACGGTCCTGATAGGATGTAGGGCAGAGGAGGCCTGTGACTTCCCACCTCCAATCACTGCATGGTCAGGTGGAAAATCTAGTTTGGAAGGGTTTGCAAACTAGAGAGCTTGGCCCTCTAGGCCTCTCTTCACAACCACTTTAAAAAAAAATTGTTTTTTTTTGGTACCGGGGATTGAACTCAGGTCCTTGCGCTTGCAAGGCAGGCCACCGAACCGCTGAACTAAATCCCCAGCCCCACTTTTTAAATTTTTAAAAATTTATTATTGTTATTTTTTTAATTTTTTGGGTACCAGGGAGCAAACCCAGGACCATGTGCTTAACCAGGTAGGATCTTGCTATGTGGTGTAGAAGCTGGCCTTGAACTTTCTATGTAGCCCAGGCTGGCCTCCAACTTGTGGTGATCCTTTTGCCTCAGCCTCTTGAGTGCTGGGACTACAAGTGTGCACCACCAGCCCAACTTTTTTTTTTTGGACACAGGGTCTCCAACTCACAGAGATACTCCTGTCTCAGCCTCCAGAGTGCTGGGATTACAGACAAGTGCCACCACACCAGGATCATAGCCACTTTTATAGTCCCGGATGGACACTGCTGCATTTTCTACTGGCAACAGCAACCAATGAATTCCTAAGGAGGCATTAGTCCTTTCTCGCCCATTTACTTCGATTTTTCCCCACCTATTTCCCTACAACAGGCTTGACCCCTTCTCCAGGACTCCACCACCTGCTCCATCCTACGGAATCCATTCTCCAGGCAGTGTTCCCTAGCAACATGCAACACCATTTCTACCCCTTTCATCTGTTAGTTGATTGTCCCACATAATTCTGTGATTTCGTCCAAAAGCTAACAGCCTTATGGAGGAAATGGAATAATTGAAATAAGCCACGAGGTACCCCAAAGGAGACGTCATAGTCCTCCAATGTGCAGGGCTCGTCTGCGAGGTCTTCAAAAAATTCTGCCAAGGAGTCCAGTGTCTCCTCTGCCAGTCTTTCATAGGCAGTCTCATCTAGGGTGCTGTGGGGGAAACAACCATGGAGACCAGGGTTACTAAACAACTCCATTTTAACAACAGAAAGTCACGCACTGATTCGTTAACCTTTACACGGATGGGAAATACCTACCAGGCACAGACTAACAATTTAAATAGCATGGAAGGAGTTACCAAGAGACGTAAGCCTTTCTTCCAAACAGTCCCCACCCCAACAGGCAACTACATGGTTTTCTGTACCCTTCTAGAGTATTATGCTTTTTAAAATATACAAACAAAGCATCTTGCATTTTTCACTTCATATGTAGAAATGGTTCCATAGTAGCAGGTATGGCTGTACTTTATTGTATACTTGATCTGAGCTTTTGTTCTATGAGAATATCTTTGCAGGTTATGATATACACCAAATACCTCCATTATATGAGTTTCCAAGGGGTGAAAGTCACCAGCTGCTGTCAGACAATTCATCCAAGACATAAACTCTTGCCATCCGCCCCTCTTCCCAAGCCCGTCCCCTATCGTAAGGGGACAGCATGGGGCAGGCTCTGGGACTGAGTAGAGAGTCAGGGGCTGCCCTCTGGAGGGAGGGGTGGCTTGGTACACCATGCTGGATGTTTAGAGGGCGAGATGAAGAGAACGGAAGAGGTTGGCTGCAGCGTGTCTTGAGGAATCTGGGAACACCTGACCTGGAATCGGGTCCAGAACCAAGAGCAAGGCAGATGCACTGACAGCACAGTGACCCATAGCAGGACAAAAAGGGCCTCAGTAGCCATAAGGGACCCCAGGGAGAGGGAGCTGGACTTGGGACATCCTGCAAGGGCTTCACTCATCCACAACAGTGCCTCAGGGAGGGTCTGCGGGGTACAGAGGCAGGGGCCAGAAGCGCTGGCCATCAAAGCACACACCCAAACGTGCAGTCCACAGCATGGGCTTTGGGACATGGTGCGAGAGGAAGACAGGATGAGCCGGTGCAGAAGCTCTAGGGCTCCCAGACCTTGAGGGCCACACAGAGCCTGCTGCCAGTCTGGCGTCTGTGTGATAACCTGCAGGGCCGAGAGTGCAGCCACAGAGCATGCAGCTGTGAGTTACAGCGTTCCTGCCTGTGGGTGGCCCCTGCTGCTTTTTGCAGGTGTGACAAGTGGTGAGAAAGGGAAGAAATGGCACGTTTGCAAGGAGATACAGTGAAATCGAGCATTTTGTGATCCATAGCTGCCGGGTGAAGGAAAAGTCAAAGGAGTCCAAGGCCTTGGATACAAAGACCTTCCATTAAGCCAGAAAAGGGTCCCAAGCTTCTTTGCAAAAACTAAATTGAAGGCACTGGTGGTCTCTAGTCTTACTACTTTTCTTTCTTTTTTTTTTGGTACCGGGGATTACACTCGGGCCTTTGCACTTGCAAGGCAGGCACCGGAACCACTGAGCTAAATCCCCGGCTCTTACTGCTTTTCTTTTATGACCTCAGGGTACCTCCTTTATGTTCGGAGAGCTGGGAATGGGGTCATGCAAAGGAAGACACTGGCTGGAGGCTTCCCCTGGGAAGACATTTGGATGTGGTTACTGACTCTGGGGACTGGCTGGTGTAAATAGATCAGAGCCTACTAGGTTTTGAGGAAAGCCCTATTATCAAAGAAAAATGAGCTTGGCCTAGGTTAGCCTACCAGAGCCTTAAAATAGCTGTTGCCAGCAAGAAGTAGGCTAGAAGGACTTCCCATTGCCTGCCTCCCTGCAGTGAGAGGATAACAAACAAGGAGGAGCCTCCTGGAGGCCTCCCAGGGCTTCGGAGGACAGGGCGAGGTTGTCCCCAGGTTGCCCAGGGAGTTGCCAACACTCCCACCAGGCCAGAGTTGCACCTCTTCTCTGAACAGGAGTTATTAGTGCAGTTATCCTGCCCCCTGCTGTCAGTGTGTGTGTGTGTGTGTGTGTGTGTGTGTGTGTGTGTGTGGCCACTCTAGATCTGAGAGAGCTGCACGTCACCTAGGGTGGCCGATTGGGCCCTCGCTTGAACCCTTTGCTGCTGGGGTACATCTGTGCTGGGCAGGAGGGTCCTACAGGTGTCAGCTGGGAGAGGGTGGACTCCGCAGTGCAGGACACTTCCCAGCTTCCTGCCCATTTGTTCCAGGACACTCACAAGATGAGACTCCCAGCCTTCCTTGCAGTGAGCTAGGGCCATGTGACTAAGCCCTCTCTGGAATGTGGGTGAGGGACAAGTGCTACTTCTAGGCCTTTTTGCAGAATGGAATATGGACAGGGTGATCTCCATCAACACAGTAGTCTCCAGTGCAGGAGAGAGATGTGCACTGGCACATGGAGATGGAAGTGGACATAGAGGAGTCACAACGAATGCCGAGCCTGCCTGCATGGTGCATGCTGCACACCGGGCACAACCTGCAAAAAGGGTGACACAAACCATTACTGGTTTGAGCCACTGCTCTGCTAGGTCTGTCTGTCACAGCAGCAGGGCCTACCCTGACCAGGACACTAAAGAAAATAACACACTCTGAAACCACCTTGTGGGGTGTGGTGGCACACGCCTGTAATCCCAGCACTCGGGAGGCTGAGGCAGGAGGATCGCTGTAAGTTCGAGACCAGCCTGGGCTACCTAGTGAGTTCCAGATCAGTCTCAACTACATAGTGAGACCCTGTCTCAAAAAACCGAAAAAACACAACAAAACATGAAACCACCTTGAAGGTCCAACAGCAGGGGATGGGTTAAATGGGTTACGGTGCAGCCGTATAACTTCTCATTACTGCACTAAAGATAATGTGATGGGTCTTAGAGATGAGGAAAGATGCAGATGAGGGCTGGTCTCAGACAGAAACAGGTTCGATACGAAAGAGAGGGAAGGGAGTGCGAGAGGAGGAGCTCTCGGAGGTGAGAGATGTTAATCTTACCCTGTGTTGCCCAAAGTTCCTGAGTTCCTCAAATGCACCAAACGGACACTCTGCTTTTTACCACTAAGAATCTGGTTGAGGTAGTAGAGGTTTAGACTCTAAAAGGCAAAGTTAAGAACATCACATTACCATTTTTCAGTTAATTATGATCTAATAATACATGGTTTATATATTACTACTCCTGCATTAAAGAGCAACTACGTTAGCTGGACATGGTAGCACATGTCCATCCGAGGTCCCTGGGAAGCTGAGGCAGGACAATCACCAGTTCAAGCCCAGCCTGGGCAACTAAGACAATGTTTCCAAATGAAAAGTAAAAAAAAAGAGGTTGGGAATGTAGCTCCATGTAAAGGCCCTAAGGTTCAATCTCTAGTGCCGTTAAGAGTTATGGGACTTTTTTTTAGGGCTACGGATTAAACCTATGGCTCAGAACACATTGGCCAGTGTTACAGTTTTTCACGAATCTTTTTCTTCTTCCCTGCAATACTAGCGATTGAATCCAGGGTCTTCATAATGAGCCACACCGCCAGCTCATTTTAAAAATGGATTTTTTTTACTGGCTCTTACTAAGACTGAGCTCATATTTTTTGAGTCTCTTGCTGCATCCTGTGAAAGTGCTGGGCTTACAAATGTGTACCACTAGGCCTGGCTAGAATATGTCTTGGAAATTCTTTACCTTTCTTAGTACATTAGTGAATTCCCCAGGCTCTCTCCAAGCTTGTGTTGTCCAACAGGACAGCTGTGGGTCACATGTAACTACTTCAATTTGAATTTATTGAGATAGAGTAAGGTAAAGTCAGTTCCTCATTGGTGCTGGCCACGTTTCAAGTGTCCTTGGCCACATGTGGCTGGAGGCACAGAGACATTTCCATCTCAGCAGGGATCTGACTGGTCATCGTTGCCACAGGCTACTCAGAGGAGGTTGTTAGCAGGAGGGGGGCGGGATCCCAACGCATCTTGGATATGATTAAGAAAAGCACAGAAAACAGGAAGGGGTGGAAGTCTGCTGAAGTACAGATGAAGGCCGGGACTGCCAACATCTACAGGTAGAAGGAGACCTGTGGATGGTCTTCATCCCTAACTGCTGGTCATGCAGGGACGGGCCTAAGCTATCATCAGGCTGTGCTGTGCACAACCCACTGACCGGCTACAGGGGGCACAAAGCACACAAGGTTCGACTGGCGCTGCCTGGAAGGAGAGGGAGGCCAGCTTGGGAGCCACAAGGGGAGGGCTGGGCTCTGGGAAGGAGCCAATAGGGCTCCCCCGGGCTGGAGGTGCTGGAGGGCCACGGTGCTAGGGTTCCAGGTCTCTACTGGACATTCTGGTTGCCATGGCAGTGGTCAGAGAGCAGGCGGGCACTTTCACAGTGCCGCCCCGGGGAGCTGAAGGTGAGCAGAGGCAAGGTGGGAGGCAGAGCGCAGGCAGTTTAGAGAGGGCAGCTCTGAAGAAGAAGAGGCTCTCAGTCTACCCGCTGGGCACTGAGGTGGACTCATTTCACCGCTCTGGAATCCTGGAAGGGCAGCTGCTGAGTATTACTGCTGCTGTCTTTCACGACAGTCAGGTCCTAGAAAGATGCTGCGAACACCCAATCAGTGAATTATTCTTAGGGGAACACGGTGAGCGAGATGCTCGCAAACCTCTGGCCAAAACAGCTTCACCAACGGAGTGAGACAGAACCTTGGTCTATGTGTGCTTCTGTTTGAGGACTCCTTATTTCATCCACTGCTGACTCACCAACGCTAACTTGGGCCAACAGCTCTGTGACTCACGCCTGAGCGAAGAGGATCCACCAGGCGCACTTGCTCTGTGAGGTATGATGTATCACGCTCCTCCTGCCCTCTTCAGCTTTAGGCTTGGGCCCATTTAACTAATTAGCTTTTGTGGTACTAGGGAACTGAGCTACATCGGCAGCCCTTTTCCAACTTTTTAAGACAGAGTCTCACTGGGGCCGGGGATTTGGCTCAGTGGTTCTGCCGCCTGCCTCACAAGCACAGAGGCTGGAGTTCGATCCCTGGTACCAAAATAAACAAACAAATAAATAAACAAACAGGGTCTCACTGGGCTTGAACTTGTAATCCTCTTGCCTCGACCTCCTAGGGTGCTGGGATTGCATGAATGAACCACCACACTGCTTTCCTTCCTTCTTTCCCTGTCTCCCTTTCTTTTTTGGTACCAGGGATCAAACTTGGGACCTTGCACTTGCAGAACCACTGAGCTAAACCCCCGGCTCCCTTTCTTCCTTCTTGTTCTGGGATGGAACCCTGGGCCTCAGCCTTCTAGGCAAGCTGTGCCGCGGGGCTGTGGAGGCCACTTCATCACACTATGTGAGCTGAGACAGGCGGAGAGCACCACTTTGACCTCTGCTGGGAACCTGAGCCCAGGGACTCTGAACGTGACTGTGACACGAGTGCCCACGTGCCAGGAGCACTGTTTGGGGCACCTCCACGAGTACAGGGACTGTGTGTGAGCTATTAGGGCAAACGGAGCACGGAAGGGGAGCTCCCAGGAGTCACAGAGAAACAGTGGCACAAAGCGCAGGGGTGGGGGCCGGCTCCAAGCCCTCTGGCTCCACAATCTGTGCCGCAAAGGAACTAGGACATGCCCGGGAGTCCGATCAGGCCCAAATCACGGGGAGAAAGTATGAGAACGTCAGGCTCCCCTCGAAGAACTACCCGCCTCAAGATCCCAGCCCTTCCTATCCTAGCTCTCGGTCTGATACCTTCCCATCACTTTAAAAAATTACCACTGACAAAGAGCCTTGCTGGCAGCCCATCTGCCATCTCTCCTGGAAATCCCGGAGCTGTTCTTCCACTCATTTCCAATAAAACTCCTAATTTCTGGCTTTGGTTGAGGACTTCATTCCCTGACGTTGTGAGATCATGAACTCAGCACATTTGATGTTTAACAGTCCAGGAGTTATATATTTTCCCTATATCACTACCACTGAGCTACATCCACTGGGGACCGAATACAGGGCCTTTGCACTGAGCTACATCCTCAGCATTAAAAAAAAAATTTATAGTCTTTTGAGACAGGATCTTACTAAGCTGCTCAGGCTGGGTTCAAACTAGCAATCCTCCTGTCCCAGCCTCCCACAATTTGGAAAGAAGGTCGGTCATATTCCAAAAGCTGGACTCCAGCCACTCCACAGCCTTGACACGTTCACCTGCTCCAAGGACTTAGGTCATAAAACCCAAGGCTGAAAACATGGGTGTGTGTGTGTGTGTGCGGTGTATACAAACCCTATACATTACGTATACACGTGATATACGTACACATATCAGATGACACTACATTGAATACTACAGGTCACATATCAATACTTCTTCAACTCAAGTCCTCACAAAGGCAAGTGACAACCTTCGAGACAAACACAGACCCCAAGGAACTGACCCCGTCCAACTGCCCTGCCTTTGCCGGAGCGTTCCCCCCGCAGTCGGCTGCAGAACAAAACGCCCCCCATCTCTCTGGGAAGCCGAAGTCGCTGCAAACGCGACGGGGACGTAGGAGACGCAGACCCGGAGGCCGAGGCCGCCGCGTTCGGCCACAGCGCATGCGCTTGCGTCCTCGGC